AGGGTTTGCTTGGGTTTCCTGAGCTGTCCCTCAGTTATGCTGCTATAGGCTTAGACTGCTGGAGGACAAACTGACCACAATTTTCACTCTACTACTGTCTTTACTTACTCTGCTCAACCTGTTTTGTATTTGTAATTATTTTTTCTGTCCTTAACATGTGTATTTTTTTTGTCTTTCAGATACACCTGGACCTATACCTGGACCTACCATTCTGTGTTTGTCTGTCTCTCCTTCCTGTCCTCTCAACCAGCCGGTCAAAGCAGATGGCCGCTTGTCCTGAGCCTGGTTCTGCTGGAGGTTTCTTCCTTTTAAAAGGTAGTTTTTCCTTTCCACTGTTGCCACTGTGCTTGCTCAGGATGGGAGACTGCAACAAAGCCAAGATTCAACTTGTCTGCTGGATTTCTTAGATAGAGAACTTTACTAATTGGCTTTTCTATGTATGTGAATGTTTTTGTAAAGTGCCCTGAGACAACTTTGTTGTGATTTGGCGCTATATAAATAAACTGAATTGAATTGAATTGCGGGCAGCACGGTGGCGCAACTGGTAGAGCTGCTGCCTCTCAGCGAGCAGGTCCTTGGTTCAAACCCCGGTCCAGGGGCCTTTCTGGGTGGAGTTTGCATGTTCTCTCCGTGCATGCGTGGGTTTTCTCCGGGTGCTCCGGTTTCCTCCCACAGACCAAAAACATGCATGTTAGGCTAATTGGTAACTCTAAATTGTCCCTAGGTGTGAGTGAGAGAGTGAATGGTTGTTTGTGTTGTTTATCTCTATGTGGCCCTGTGATGGACTTGCGACTCGTCCAGGGTGTACCCCACCCCTCGCACAGTGATTGCTGGACATGGGCACCAGCGACCCCCGTGACCCAAAATGGAATAAGCGGGTAAAGATAATGGATGGATGGATGGATGGAATTGAATTGCGGGCAGCACGGTGGCGCAACTGGTAGAGCTGCTGCCTCTCAGCGAGCAGGTCCTTGGTTCAAACCCTGGTCCAGGGGCCTTTCTGGGTGGAGTTTGCATGTTCTCTCCGTGCATGCGTGGGTTTTTCTGGGTGCTCCGGTTTCCTCCCACAGACCAAAAACATGCATGTTAGGCTGATTGGTAACTCTAAATTGTCCATAGGTGTGAGTGAGAGAGTGAATGGTTGTTTGTCTCGTTTGTCTCTATGTGGCCCTGTGATGGACTTGCGACCCATCCAGGGTTTACCCCGCCCCTCGCACAGTGATTGCTGGACATGGGCACCAGCGGCCCCCGTGACCCAAAATGGAATAAGTGGGTAAAGATAATGGATGGATGAATGAATTGAATTGCACTATATAAGTACAGTCCATTTACGATTTACCTTCTGCAGCCTCTCTGGTCTCATCACCTGCTGCAGTCTCAGGGTTTCATTGTATTTGAGAGGGTCCATGGGGATGTCTCTCACCCACCATCCCCTGAGAGGGTCCAGCGAGAAGCCTCGTTTACGCCGATCACACGATCAGTATCTGAGTGTTTTTTTGTGTTTGGTCTTCTTGTGATTCTTGTTTTTAGTTTTCTCTGCGAGTGTTTTACTTGTCTCTAGCTTCCCTAGTATTTCTCCCCTAATGTTGCCAGTTCTTCCTCCTCTCAGACCTGTTCCTAATCAGTCACCCCAGGTGTTCATCATTGTGTTTCGTTAGTGTTTCTTTAAGTTCAACATCAGTGTTTCCTCCCTGTCTGTGAATTGTGCCTTTCAGCCAATATGCTCTGTTCCTCTGTCTTCCCTTGTTTTGTGTTTTGCTGGCATGACAGAGTTTGTTATAGTATTTATTTAATAGTTATTCTTTATTTTACCCTAGAGTTCCCCATGTCTGTCTGCCCCTGTGCTCAACTCTCAACCTAGATAAGGTTACTGGAATTATTCATCCATAACTCATTTGGTGATTTGTTTATTCATCCATCCATCCATTATCTTCCGCTTGTTCCAAAGTCAGGTCTTGAGGCAGCATCTTGAGCAGGGAGGTCCAGACATCTCTTTCCACAGCCACCTCTTCCAGCTTTTCTGGGAGAACTCCAAGGCGTTCCCAGGTCAACCGAGAGACGTAGTCTCTCCAGTGTGTCCTGGGTCTTCCCCAGGGTCTCCTCCCAGTCGGACATGCCCGAAGCACCTCCCTAGGGAGGCGTCCAGGGAGCATCCTTACAGATGCCCGAACCACCTCAACTGGCTCCTTTCGATGTGGAGGAGCAGCGGCTCTACTCCGAGTCTCTCCTGATAACTGAACTTCTCACCCTGTCTCTAAGGGAGAGTCTAGCTACCCTGCAGAGGAAACTCATTTCAACCTCCTGTATCTATGATATTATTTCTGTCACTACCCAGAGCTCGTGACCATAGGTGAGGGTAAGAACGTAGACTGACTTGTAAACAGAGAGCTTTGCCTTACAGCTCTGCTCTCTCTTCACCACAATGGACCAGTACAGAGTCCACAATACTGCAGACACTGCACCAATCAGTCTGTCAGTCTCACACTCCATTCTTCCCTCACTCGTGAACAAAACCCTGAGATACTTGAACTCCTCCACTTTAGGCAGAACGTCACCCTCAAAATGAAGAGTGCAATCCACCCTTTTCTGGTTCAGGACCATGGCCACAGATTGATTCATATGTAGGCCTATTAATGTAAATAAACCCTTAAACAATTCAAATACATTCTCTGTTCTTTGATATGAAGTTCAGGTACTTCAGCTAGATCCAGAACCCCAAGAGTGACAAGTATAAACTGAGATAAGGTTAACATCTGAGCAAACCTAACTTCCAGTGTTAATATTGCTTATGTTCATGCTTCTCTTTTGATTTTTTTTTATCCTAAAATTTGCTCTGTGAACTGTAAACTAGTTTAAGCATTTTGTCTCCACTCCTGCAAGTTGTCAAATCTAAAGCGATGAAACACATCGCTGCAGGTGTACGAACCTTTTCACACCTGCCGGTTGCACAATTTACTGATACATCACAGCTTCTGCTGAACAAACTCAGCCACACCGACACGTGATGAAATATTCCGAATAAAGCACTTTATTAGCAGATGAATATTAGAAAGAAAACAAAGATTATAACAGTTAGTGTGTTACATACAGGAGCAACATATGATGTGACACTCAGATTAAACGCATAGTGTGATATGTTTCTTTTCAACAGCACTCTTCTCCCTGCGACTCTACTTCTAAAATAAAGCCTTCCTTAGTTGCATCAAAATAAATACAAAACACAAGCATATTTCATTGCAATTGACCAGAGGGCAACTAATCACTCAAACAAAACTGATGATTTCATACATTTCTAATATGAGTTCAGTGGATAAACCACCATTCTCCCACCCACATGCATGCTTTAAGAGTTATACACGTTGGCTTGGATACAGAGCGATAAAACTGGTATATGTCCAGTATATGTTGACATACATCCAGTATATGTTGGCAAACTGAGCAAGTAATGGTCCAGAAAATCAAGTAGAGTTGACAGATCTTAAGAGCTGTGGAGCGTTTGCAGGTAACATGGAGGTAAATGAAGCAGAGAACACAGAACAGCGTTAGGGTTTGAAATAAAGCAAGACTTCACTTTTTATGCATAAGTGCTGCTGCAGGTCAGTTAGCATGGCTAAAACAAAGAGATTTACATTCATGTCATGATCAGTTTAATGATCCTTTCATGAAGTCCAAATGGCTTAAAACATATTTGTTTCCCTTGCTGGGAATCCATATTTTTGACACGATTGCTAGTTCAACACTTGATCTTCTACACTGCACTTGTCCTTTTGTTTAACCTGTCTTCAGTCTACAGTATTTGTCAAACCCAACTGTGTAGATTTATGATGAAGCGTTTACTGTATAAAATGTGAAACACTACAAAACCTCAGGGCATGCTTTATATTAATCAACTCATCCCACTGAAAACATAATAAACTCAAATCAAATTAAAAGTAAATAAATAAAAGCATATGATAAGGTGCGTTTGATGGTTCCTGAAAAGTAACATTGAGGTGGATATAGTTCTAGTCCCCATCTTTGGCCTTTAAATGCTTGAACCGGTAATGCATACAATTCTACAACCTCCATTGACCCTAAAGTAAGGCAATGGTGTAAAAATCAACGTGATTGACAAATTAACAGTCACAGCTGTGACAATCACTAAGCCTTAAAGACAGCTTGAAGGCTCCCATCACACTGAATGACAACCCCACTAGGATGGTACAAACATCAAACAAAACATGAATGGTCTTTGCAGGGTCTTCATGAGGTTTTCAGGGGTGTATTAAGAATGAGTGCTCCGCTTTATGTGTGATGAATCATGAAAGGTCTGTAGAGTGATTTACAACAAAACATGCACCATCCATCCATCCATCCATCCATCCATCCATCCATTCATACATCCATCCATTCATCCATCATCTTTACCCACTTCTTCCTTTTTGGGTCATGGGGGTCACTGGTGCCCAATATCCAGCCATCACTGTGTGAGAGGTGGTAGACACCCTGGACAGGTGTCCAGTCCATCACAGGGACACAGAGACAAACGAGACAAATAACCATTCACTCTCTCACTCACACCTAGAGACAATTTAGAGTTACCAATCAGTCTAACATGCATGTTTTTGGTCTGTGGGAGGAAACCGGAGTACCCGGAGAAAACCCACACATGCACAGAGACAACATGCAAACTCCACCCAGAAAGGTCCCCTGCTGGGATTTGAACTGGAGCGACCTGCTCACTGAGAGGCAGCAGCTCTACCAACTGCACTACCGTGCCGCCCGCAACTATCAATGAGAAACAATTTTGTTAGATTTAGATAGAGTATGCAGGGCCCTGAAGTCATGTAGTGGGGTCACCATCAAGTGTAGAGAAGACTTAAAAAGACAATGTTGCAAAAGATGATACAACTTTTTAAGACAAAATGGTAGAACCTTATAAAGAGAAGACAACTCAATGCAAAGATATAAGTCAAGCTGAAAAGCATGAACCACAGGGACCAGTTGGACAGTCTGCACGATTTATAGAAAAGCAGTTTATTTTTTAGTCGGATTTATGGAAGTGTTGGGATGAGAATCAGGCTGATGCAGAACCTCATGGGAGACAAGGAGCAGAAACACGGGCCATGCAAATGCAGCTCCTCATCCTGTTCTGAGGTTGTCGGTCAAACATTCAGACCAAACTGGACTTATGAAGCTACACCACTGTCCAAATGTTGTGAATAATCCCACAAATGATGCCTCTCTGCAGCGTCACGGGCAGATGTTTTACTGACAGAAACGGTTGGTATCATGAAGATACACAGATGAATCAAGTGGCATATTTTGTTCTGTTTCCTCCCAGATTGTTGTTGAGATGTTGCAGCAATACTTTAAATATTTAAAAAAGGCGGGCCGCCTTCTTCAAGTCATTTTTCTTCCACAGGGCCAGGCGGTCAAACTGCTCCAAGGTCATACTGAAAACCTGCTGGAACTCCTCTGGAGAGAGGTGTCTCTGGAAACGAGAAACAGATAAAAGCAGAATTTTTACATGTACATAACATTATGGTAAAAATATCACAACACAACTTTAATGTTGGCGGTACAGTTAACAGTAGAGAGAAAAAACACAAGTATCATGAAAAGTTGGTGGATAATCACCACGCCTGTGAACAAGTGTGTAGAGATATGATCACGTATCCGTATGTATATCAATATGTAATCAGCAAATAATTACATAAACACTCATTTGAAAAATAACAGCCACTTACGAGCTTCCTAACATCAATAAAGCATTTACATTTCTACCTTTAAAAAAAATCTTCACCCCCCAAAAGTTCAGTCATGGACAATTTAATTCAAAACATACAAATATAATTAAACAGCACAACTAAAATGCAAATGTGTCTTGATCATAAAGAACCTGAAGTCTTTCCTGTTAAAAGGGAGTTTTTTCTTCCCACTGTCGCCTTCATGCTTGCTCATGATTTGAGTTCTGTGATGGAGTTCAGTTCAAAGCAGTCTGCTCCTCAGATTAATAACGTTAAGTTATTATTTGTATATATGAATGTTTCTGTTTATTGCCATGAGATGACTTCTGTTGTGACTTGGTGCTGTATAAATAAACTGAATTGAAATGACTTGAACTGAAGCACCTCCCTAGGGAGGCGCACAGGGAGCATCCTTACAGATGCCCGAACCACCTCAACTGGCTCCTCTCATGTGGAGGAGCAGCAGTTCTACTCCGAGTCTCTCCTGATAACTGAACTTCTCACCCTGTCTCTAAAGGAGAGTCCAGCTACCCTGCGGAGGAAACTCATTTCAACCTCCTGTATCCACAATCTCATCCTTTCAGTCACTACCCAGAGCTCATGACCAGAGGTGAGGGTAGACCGACCGGTAAACACCGAGCCGTTTTAAAGATTTTGAGTTAAAACTGGATCTGGTCGTAGATGTGATTCTACTAACAAATTTTTTCAAGATTTGACCAAACACTTCATTATTTCTCAGCATCAGATCATCTCAGTCTGGCATGAAAGGCAGTGGCTGTATTCATGCTGATGTGTTTCCATCTTGGCTCTGAGTTATTGGGGGGTGGCTGATAGGTTTGAAAACCACTACAGCAGTTTAAGGTCAAGGTTCACGAGCTTTGATGAGTAAAAGTGAGGGTAGAATATGTTTGTAGTGTTGAACATTGAGGAGCCTGGTGTTTCCTACGTTGCAGGGGATCCAGAGCATCAGCAACACGTCAGTGTCCCGACAGTCTGACTCCAGGGACAACATTCTTATGAAGCTGAAGGCTCATGGAGAGTTGTCATGTTGGGGTCACTGAGCGTTTACTGGTTTGACAGAAAGTGTTTGTGGATGAAAAGCTGAGGACAGGAGAGCCATCAGAGCTGAGGTTCATTGTGTTCCTTCTGTTAGGAAAACATTTCCTGTTTTCCACAGAACAAAGTGAGGAAAAGTTCTGACGTGTTAAAAACAGCTAGAGGAAATGACTTTTTATGGGACATGAGTTCTAATTCTGTTGAATTTTAAATGAAAGGACATGCAGGATAAACTTGCAGGATCGTTTGTCACATTTCATGATAAAAATTAATTCCAAGCTTCAAAATTTTGACAAGTTTAAAAGTCAAAGTAACCAAATGCAGAAGTAAGCTTCACACAGGAGTGCCACAAACTTAAATCAAGATAAAGTTTGAATTAATACAGCAAAAGTACTTTTAGATGTAAATCAATGAAACTGAAGCTTTTTATTTAATGAAGACTGAAAGAAGCTGCTGGTTTGTTTGGTAAAAGTCGAGTGTAGTTTAAAGGTTAGTAGAAAAGTATTTACTTCCTCCTCATTCTTTGGGGTTTGAATTTCCTCTGAATTAATTTTTTTTTTTTTTAAAGTTTGAGATTTTTTCTATAATTTACATGACATAACTAACACTTTGATGATCTGGGAAAAATAATTTGACAAAACAACCCCAGAAATTCTGACCGTGCATCATCATCTTTCTTTGTGCCCTGTCGGGGGTTATTGGGAAATCAGAATCAGAATCAGAATGCCTTTATTGTCATTATACGCAGTACAATGAAATTAAGAGCCACTCCATTTTCCAGTGCAAAAACACGCCTTAAGAAAACACACATTAAACACACTAAAAATATAAAAAATGTAACGCAATATAGATATAATAATGAAAGTAAAAAATACAAGTATTACACAATTGTATTGCACATTATGGATATTAGTGAGGTAGTTAAGGTGACTGAGAGTATGAAATGTCAGTAGTATTGCACAGTAGAAGTCCAGGTGTTTGGGAGGTTAGATTATTAAATCAGTGCATGTGTGAGTTCAGTGTGGTGATGGCTTTCGGGAAAAAACTGTTCTTGAATCTGTTTGTTCTTGTTCTGATGCACCTGTAGCGTTTCCCTGAAGGTAGCAAGTCAAACAGTTCAAAACTCGGGTGTGAACAGTCCATGATAATGTTTTCTGCTCTGTTGAGGCAGCGTGATGTGTAAATGTCCATCAGGGAGGGGAGAGGGCAGCCAATTATCTTTTGTGCTGTCTTGACTACTCTCTGAAGCCTCTCCCTGTCAGCCAGGGTGCAGCTGCCGTACCATACTGAGATACAGTATGTCAGCAGGCTCTCGATGGACGAGTGGTAGAAGGTCAGCAGCAGTTTTGTGTTCAGGTTGTGCTTCTTAAGGACTCTTAAGAAGTGTAGTCTCTGCTGAGCCTTCTTGATGACCGCTGTGGTGTTCTCTTTCCAGTTTAGGTCAGCAGAGATATGGACACCAAGAAATCTGAAATCTGAAAGTGTGAACCCTCTCCACGCACTCGCCGTTGATGTAAAGGGGTTGGTGCTGTGCTTCCTGAAATCAATAATCACCTCCTTGTTTTTTTTGATATTCAGAGCCAGATTTTTATCTGAGCACCAGGTTGCTAGCTCCAGGACCTCCTGTCTGTAAAATGACTCATCTCCCTTAGAGATTAGTCCGACCACTGTGGTGTCATCAGCGAACTTGACGATGAGGTTGTTGTTGTGGGCCAGGCTGCAGTCATGGGTGTAGAGACAGTACAGTAGGGGGCTCAGCACACAGCCCTGTGAGGAGCCAGTGCTCAGCGTACGAGTGGAGGAGAGGTGGGGACCAAGTCTTACAGATTGGGGCCGATTGGTTAGGAAGTCTTTTATCCAGGCACATGTGAGTGGGGGGAGGCCGAGATTGTCAAATGTATTTATAAGAATGTCCAGAATGATTGTGTTAAAGGCCGAGCTGTAATCCACAAAGAGCATTTGAACATAGCTGTGCTGTTGTTCCAGGTGGCTCAGCGCGGTGTGGAGAGCTACTGCAATAGCATCCTCTGTGGACCTGTTGGTGCGATATGCAAACTGGTAGGGGTCAAAGTTCGGAGGGAGATAGTCCATGATGTGCTGGAGAACCAGTCTCTCGAAGCACTTCATGATTACTGGGGTGAGAGCCACCGGTCGGTAATCATTCAGGCTGGTGATGGTAGGTGTTTTCGGCACTGGGATGATGGTTGCAGATTTTAAGCAGGGAGGTATGACAGCCTGGGCCAGGGAGAGATTGAAAATTCTGGTGAAGGTGGGGGCGAGCTGGAGGGCACATGCTTTGAGCACCCTGCCAGGTACTCCATCTGGGCCAGTAGCTTTCCTGGGGTTCACTGATTGGAGGGAACGTCTAACATCATGCTCCCGTACAGTGAGTGGAGTGGTGCAGTAACCGGGTGGGTGCGGGGGCAGGGCAGGATCAGATGGGTGCTGCTGTGGTGCATCAAAGCGTGCAAAGAAGCAGTTTAGCTCCTCTGCTAGTGATGCACTCAGGTCTCCTGTTGTCACCTCACAGCCTCTATAGTTAGTGATGTTTTTTATGCCCTTCCACACCTCCCGTGAGTTGTTACTGGACAGATGGGACTCTATACTCCTTTTATGGTCAGCCTTTGCGGTTTTTATTCCCTTATTCAGGTTGGCTCGAGCAGCTCGGTACAGAGCTCTGTCACCTGACCTGAAGGCAGCGTCGCGGGCTCTGAGGAGTGTGCGAACCTGGCTGGTCATCCATGGTTTCTGGTTGGGGTAAACACGAATGTTTTTGACCATAGTCACATTTCCGATGCAGAAGTTGATGTAGTCCAGTACTGTTCCTGTGTATGTTTCCATTTCCTGATGTTCAAATAAGTCCCAGTTAGTTTGTTCAAAGCAGTCCTGTAGGTCGTCGAGTGCATTACCAGGCCAGATTGTAACAGTTTTTGTTGTAGGCCTTGCTCTGCGTCTGAGGGGGGTGTAAGCTGGGGGGAGCAGGAGGGAAAGATGGTCTGACTGCCCGAGGTGGGGGAGGGGTATGGCTCTGTATGCATGTTTAATGTTCGAGTAAACCTGGTCCAGAGTGTTCTCCTCCCTAGTAGAACACTTAACATGCTGGTAGAATTTTGGAAGTACAGTCTTCAGATTAGCCCTATTGAAATCTCCTGCAATTATATGAACACCGTCGGGGTGAGCCCGCTGCTGTTCATTGATGGTGTTCAGCAGGAGAGAGAGCGCCGTATTTACATTAGCATCGGGTGGTATATACACAGCAGTAATTATCACAACTGTTAGCTCTCTCGGTAGAAAAAAAGGTCGGCATCTCACGGACATGTACTCAAGGTCTGGGGAACAGTGGTTGTCTATAATTGAGGTTTTCCAAGATGGCGCCGGTGTGTAGGGCTGCCCGTCTCTCGCTCTCTGCTTGTATTTTATTTTTGTTATTTTTACAATGGTTTGTGCAGTGTGCCGAGTCATATTTTCAGTATGATCGTCGGGCACTTTTGGAGCTCCGTACATTTGCTGAAATTCCCGCGGAGTTTTTGAACAGCGGCCATCACTCTCCCCCACCGGTCCTATCTGAGATTCCTGCGTTCCTTCTGCGTGACCCTGGCCTTTCTCCATGGAGGAAACGTCGCAGACGTCGTGGGAAGCGTGCAGGGATTTTGGTGAAACTGAGGCAAAGTGTGGATTATTCTAACAG